GAACTGGAAAGTTTTTAATTTTTCAAAATCAAAACTCTTTTGCGCTGATATTTGACCATTGTCTGAATTTATATTAAGGAAAGATGTCGTGACGTCATTCTCATTTCCACCCCTTATGATGCGATATGAAATAACTGCGTTTTCGTTCATGTCATTGTCGGTCGCACTAACTGCGAATATGTTTGCTCCAGGGACGTTGCTTTCCAGTAAATAAAGGTATAACGGATTCTGTTCAAAATGTGGACTATTGTCATTCACGTCAGATAACTGAACAATCAGAGGTTTAACCGTAGATAAAGGCGGCTCTCCACGATCTGTGGCTTTTATTATTATCTCATACTGTGGCACCTGCTCTCTGTCCAGAAACCCCTTCGTTACCACTGAATATATGTTCTCTTTATATGAGGGCTTTAACTCAAACGGGACGTCATCAGTGATGCGTAAGTCAACTTTTCCGTTCGCTCCAGAGTCCTTGTCCATTACACTCAATAGTGAAATGACTGTACCGGGATTTGCATCCTCAGACACTGTATTTGACAGTGATGTGACTTCAATTTCGGGCGAATTGTCATTAACATCTTTAAGCTTGATAATAACTCGACACCTCCCTGTTAACGGAGGCTGCCCTTTGTCAGAGGCCTGAATCTCCAGTTTGTAAGTCTCTGACTCCTCATAATCCAGAGGTGCTTTTAACCTGATTTTTCCACTTAAATGATCCAAATCAAAAATGTCATAAACCTTACGAGCTAATGTTTTACTTAAACTGTACTCGATTTCTCCATTATTGCCTTCGTCTGGATCTGTTGCATTTATTTGCGCTACTACTGTGCCAACCTGTGCATTTTCCGGTATTTCACTTTGATACGTATCTTGTGTAAAGACTGGTCGGTTGTCGTTAATGTCAAGAACAATAACGGAGACATTTAATGTGTCCGTTTTAGGAGGCTTTCCGCCGTCAACTGCAGTAACGAACAGCACATGTCGATCATTTCGCTCTCTGTCCAGCGATTTCTTTAAAACTAAAAACGGTATTTTATCTTCGTCGACTTTACTAATATCGATTTCGAAATATTCATTAGATGTTATCGTATATGTGCGGATCGAGTTAACCCCAGCATCCGGGTCCCGAGCAGCGTGCAGTTCGAATCTCGTACCCGGAGATGAATGTTCAGCTATTTCTAGTGTTTGTACTTTTTCGGAGAATGTCGGTGCGTGATCATTGACATCTATAATTTCTATTACAACATGGTGCATTTCCAAAGGATTTTCGACCAGGATTTTAAGCTCCATTACACACGCATTGTTTCCGTGACAGAGCTCCTCCCTGTCGATTTTCTTATGGACTTGTAAAGCGCCATTGTCCGCGTTTACCTCAAAAAACGCATCTTTAGAGCCAGACACAACACGGAAACGACGATCAGATAAAGCCGTTCTTTCCAGACCAAGATCTTTGGCAACATTTCCTACAACAGTCCCTTCTTTTACCTCCTCTGGAATCGAGTACCTCAATTCAGCCATGGTCGGCGTTCCGAAAAAACCCAGTAAACAAAGAAGGAAAGCTGTCCAGCCATAGTCACTCCATCGCCGTTTGCCCGTCATCATTTTTCAAATCATAAAAACATAAACGTTTACTTGAAAACTGACTTGATATTCCAACAAAACACGCTCTTCTCTGATTCTCGTCCTTCCATCCACCGCTTCATCTGCTGCATATACTACACAAAAGCTTTGTCAGAGGAAGAACGACCGCGTTCATCACCTTGTTTTACAGCGACACCAAGAGGACAAGATCGGATAATAACGTGCACCAAATATCAAAGCTAAAGTAGTTCAGCACCACGGAGAGCGACAAATGGACTCAATTGAAAGAACAGCTTTTACACGTAAACTCACACTGAAAAACCTACTTGGCAAACCGTACTATGTGTTATATATACAGAAAAGAGGGATATATCGGTGAGACGAAAAGTAAAAAAAAATAAAAATAAAACAAATTAAGGAGGTTGAAAATAATTTACATTTATGTTGTGACTGTTTTTAG